ATTCTATACAAGTATAGAAATAAAAGGGTAGGATGGGGGGGGTGTGACTCAGTGGTAGAGGGCTTGCCCAGCATGAGCCAAGCCCTGGGTTCAATCCCCAGCACCACCGAAACAAAGAAGAAAAGAAGGAAGAATTTCAAATATAAACTTCTTCCAATAACCCCCCCCAAAAAAAAACATATAAGAAGAGTGAATACTCTTTTCCTTCTGCATATACTAAAGTATAATATGTTTTTTAATACATCAGAAATGTTCTTTTTAGGCAACTGTATGGCACAAATTCTGAGGCTACTTTAGAACAATCTTCACGTTCATCTTGGGTTTCCTAAACATCATTGCCTGGGAATAAATTTGAGCCCGTTCATGGAAAATCTACCAGTGTGCAGACTATAAAAATGGAGGGCTTGGCAGCACAGAAAGTGCTAGACACACCCTAATAGAAACCAGGATTTTGTAATTCAGTTCTCAGGCAGGGCGGGGGGAGGCACTTTAGTGGTATCCAATGTTGCTTTAAACTGTGGAAAAACCACAAGGGCAACCACTGGCTGCTAGGTTCTGTTTCAAAAGTAAAATATGCTTTCTGTGAACTGTTGTAGCCCCCAAAAGGAAGCATGTTAGCAATACAAAGCCAGTGGAGACCCCCTGTTTATATTTTTATAGTAAAGGCATTCAGTTTCACATGAGGCAGAAAATTCTGTAAAGAGCTATTGCTGGTGAACATGCATTTCCCATGCTCCTGATTTGAGGTCTGCGGGTTCTGTGGGGGAAGGTAAGCAAATGTGGAATAGAATAGAGGAGGGAGGAATGGTGGCTGTCTGCGGCAGCTTTCCTACCACATTTGAGGCCTAGTTCCTTGATTTTCTGTGGATTGGATTGATAAAATCAGGGAGGAAAGACTGGGATAAGAGTTGCCTGGTAAGAGAAACTAGAGTTTTAAAGAGTTGTGGTCAAACAAGATGAGAAACCACATAGATGGTCTTGCCAGCTAAGGGCCATCCCTAGAGGGCTGATACTGGTGAAATAATAGTGATATATTACATTTTTATTATTTATCTTATATTTACTAAGAACTTTCAATGTCTTAGAGACTCAGTTAATTGTATGGTATTTAACCCTCATACCAAGCCATTTTCTGGGCTAAGGACTATAAATAGTCCCATTTTCTAGATTAGGAAATGGAGGCACAGAAAGGTAACTTGCTCAGAATTACACAGTTCATACATGGAAATGAATCCAAAGACGCTTCTGTTGTAAGGGGAGGACTACATAGTTGGATTGATGGATGCCACCAGGCTGCTTTTCATCCTCATTCAACTTCCATAGTGCCCAGAACCCTGACCCTGGGGCTCCCTCTGTTACTTAGGGCATTGTATCTCACGATGTTATAAGCTGCAGACATTCCCTGCATTAACCCAGTAACACACAGGCATGGATCGGCTGGTTTAGGATCCAGAACAGGGGCTCGTAAAGGGTGTTTGGGGAGGTTTCTTAGTCTGTTTTTCTGTGGCTATCACAGAATACCTAAAACTTGGTTATTTATAGAGAAAAGAAGTTTATTTTGGCTCACAGCCCTAGAGGTTGGGAAGGTCAGCATCTGATGGTTGAATCACCACAGAGTAGGAAAATAGAAGGGCAAAAGGGCACGTATGAAAGAGACAAAACACAAGGGGCAGCCTCACTAGGTAATGACCCACTTTCATGGCAACTAATCCAGTCTCAAAGAGGATGTTAACCTATACATGAGGGCAATGTCCCCCTCACCAGGTCACTTCTTAAAGGTCCCACCACCTGTCAGTACTATTACATTGGCAATTAAGGTTCAACAGAGTTTTAGAGGGAATAAAACATATTCAAACCACTGAAGGAGAGAAGAAGGGGAGAGTCAGCACAAAGCATCTGCCAGGGAGAAAAGGTCCTTGAAAGACCTCAGAGCCATGGGCATCCCTCATAGGGGTCTGGTGAGAGGAGAGAGAGAGGGAAAAAAATATGGTCAACAAACAGAGTGAAGATCAATGCCAAAGACAAATGTTCCCTTTTCAGAGTGGACTTAAGTTGGGTCTAATTTTGTTCACACCAACATTTAGAGTAATTTCAGATGTAGACTCTGCAGGGCATGGTGACCACTTGGACTACATGGGAGAGAAAACTCGAAGCTGAGGCTGCAGCATTAGTGGAAAGAAGCTGAGATTCTGTGCTAGATGGCTCATGTTTAGTTTCCAGAGTTGTCTCTAAGTTTTTGATTTTTAGTGACATTATTTTCTGACCACAAGAGTGCAAACTCAAGGTGGACTATGTGAAAACAGTACAAAGAAGAAAACTGGATTGAGCCACAGAAGCAAATGTAGTTTTTCCAAAGAAAAGAGAGTAGTTCAAAAGGAACCCTGAAAAGATGGGAAAGAAGAGGGTTTGATAAGAGAACAAGAGTCACCCTTCTGAAATGTTTACGTGGGGATCCAAAAAACATCTGGCTGCCCTGCAACTGGAGAGCACATTCTCTAGCTTGTCTAACCTCTCCCCCAAACACACAACTTAAAAAAATAGGATCAGAGGCATTTTAGGTTTTACAATATCAAAAGATTGCTGCTTTTTTTCCCTTCTGACACCTTCCACTGTGTTCTTATCACCCCTACCTCTTGCCTCCTTTTCCTGTCTTAAGTTTCTTCATCCTAAGTGTATCCACGCAGAGATCAGACCACCACAGCCCCCCACACCTGCACTTGGCCCAGCAGCCTCCTGCCCTGGGCCACGCCCACTCCCCTTTCTCACATTTGAGATGGGGTTGGTAGGTTTTTACAATGTCCAGTGACAACTTGAAAGGTAAATTTACTTTGATATTTAATAGCTACTAGCTTCAAGAGACAATTTATTGGCCTCTGATTCTCCAATTATGTTTTATTTTTCTTTGGATTAATTTTTAATTGTAAAGAAATTGGGAAATTTGTTTATCTGCATTAGGCCTCTCTACCTTCAGGATTTAACTTCATATTTCATTGATTAGTTCTTGTTAAATGACACTGGCAGAGCTAAGTTTAAACGGATTTCCGTAATCCCAACCTCACCCCCATTTTTTAAAACATTTTACTTCCCTGCCTGTATATCATCCTGATTTCCCTGTGCTTTTCCTCCATGGCTACTGCTATCTCCCTCATAATTACCCTCTTGGCTCCTCCCCTACCCCCCACCCCCCCATGGCTGTGTCCCCCACCAAGGGGTCTTGGCCTTACTCTTTTCTGACAAAATATTTTCTTTTGGAAAAGCCCATTCATTTTCATGACATGAAACTGAAGATTCCCTGAAGCCAAAGTCCAGCTCAGTCCTATTCCTGATCAAGATTCTCATTTTCCAGAGACCTTAGGCCTTTCCTCATGGTTCAGGAGAGACCTCAGCACAGTGAATCCAGACCATTGTCTTTCCCTCACCTTTCCCTGCTCTGCCAGAAGCCACCAAGTCATCCAAAGTAAACTCTTAAGAACTCATATATGAAATATCCTTCACATATGATCTCTTAGCAAAACCATGACATGGATAAGGCAGGTATTATTAATGCCAATTTACAATAAAGAAACAGAGTCAGAGACATTGAATTATCCCAGTTGCAAAGCAAGTGGTGCTTTTTACTATTTAAAACTGTCCCACATGGGTACCATGGTGCACACCTGTAAACCCAGCAACTCAGGAGGCTGAGGTAGAAGGATCACAAGTTCAAGGCCAGCTTCAGCAAGCAACAAGACCCTCAGCAACTTAGACTCTGTTTCAAAATAAAAATAAAAAGGACTGGGTATGGGCTGGGGTTGTGACTCAGTGGTGGAGCACTTGCCTAGTACTCATGAGGCCCTGGGTTTGATTTTCAGGACCACATAAAAATAAAATAAAGGTATTGTGTCCACCTACAACTAAAAATACTTTTTAAAAAATAAAAAGGACTGGGGTTTTAGTTAAGTGTAAAGTGCCCCTGGGTTCAATCCTCAGTGCTGGGAAAATAAATAAATAAATAAATAAATAATGAACTGCTCCAAAAGTCAGGAATTAGAGAGAAAAACAGAACTCAAAATACAGCCTAAATAAACAATTTCAATATTCAATATTAATTTACTGAATAATTAAATATATAATGATATTTTCACATAGTATAATATTTTATTCAGCTGTTATTCAAATTTTATTAATTTGAAGAACATTTAATGGTATAGGGAAGTGTTCACATTATAATGTTATACAAAAAAGGATCAACAATCAATTTTTTTAATATTTATTTTTTAGTTGTAGATGGTCACAGTACCTTTATTTTATTTATTTATTTTTATGTGGTGCTGATGATTGGCCCCAGGGCCTCGGCATGCCAGGTGAGCGCTGTACCGCTGAGCCACAACCCCAGCCCTGAAAAGGGTTTTTTTTTTTTTAATCTTATTTTTTTTTGGTAGGGTTCTTTTTTTTGTTTTGTTTTGTTTTGGGGGGGTCAAACCGAGGGCTTTGCGAATGCAAGGCAGACGCTTTGCCACTCAATTTTGTTTTATGTATGTATATACATATATGCATACACACATACCTCTGTCCACACACCCTTTTGTATATGGAGTAGAGAAGAAACACTGCTCACATTCACACACACACAACCACTTAAATTATTTTTAATGCTCAAACAAAATAAATCACTCCAGGTGAAAAATTTATTAGTAATTTTAATTTCCTTCTTGGTTCTCTTCTTCCAGATTTTTTTCTCAGTAAGTGTACATAGCTTTCAGCAGAAAATGTTTTATAAGCAACAACCAAGGGCTGGGTGTGTGCTCCATGGTAGAGTGCCTGCTTAGCTTGTACAAGACCCTGAGTTCCATCCCCAGCACCATAAAACAAAATAAAAGCAACATCCATGAGTGATCCAGCAGTCTGGTCCACTGCTAGTCCTTCTGACTTTCTGGCAGTCTCGTCCCAGTGCCCTCCTTCCTCTCCCTTCAATCTTATTCTTGTCCCAGTTCCTCTTCTTCCTCTGTCTTTTCTTCCAGGTGCTCTCATGGGCTTCCCCTACCCACCTAGTGGGGATCATCCAGACTCTGTCCTCAGCCCTCTTCCCGCTCATCAATGACCTGACTTCAGCTCCCTCTTTCTCTGGTGCCTCCACCCATCACCATCCTCTCCTATGGGCCCCACCTGGACATGAAGAAGTGTGGACAGGTTAGGTAATGAAGTCATGTATTTGAGGTCACAGACCGGCCAACAGCACTGTGCTTTGCAGGCTAATAGGACCTGCTGGGTGAGCTTGTGGACTCAGCCTTTTTGGCTTTCTTGAAATGTGAACTTGCAGTTGTTTGCTGACTAGCATGTGAACACCTGGTGTCTCTGACCCTCACTCTCTCTGTGACCCTTTTTCTATAATTCATTCTTGTCCTAAGTATGAGTAATATTCATTTATATATTTGGATTTTATATTACTTCTAAAATTAGGGGGAAAATAAGAACATTTAAAGTTTGTTTTAACAGGATTATTAGCTTTCAGGTTGCCACCATCAACATGAGTCCATCGTTCTCCCCCCAAAAAAATTCATTGAGGAATTGTGTGATATTAAGTATAATGTAATTAGACAGAAATTTAATTGAAGATTTCTTGTATATTTTGGAGCTGAAAATAAGAGACCATATGGTAGCCCCAATTCTTTATTTTCTCCCTACCTCCTCATTCCACTCTAGCCTACCAAACAGAGGAAGCCCTATCAGGAAACTTGTAGGAAAAAGAAGTGCTCACTGGTTAGGCTCACATTTATCAGCAACTTAACCCAGTTGTAACTTAGTCCCAATCACCATTGGTGATTGGTATTCCCTATCAGCCAGGATTTTGTCTATATTTATTTTATTGGTTCATGTTATTAAAAAACTATTATTTTAACCCCTTTTCATATACAAAAACTATAATAGACTATTATCTCTCTCTCATTTAAAAAAGTCACTTAGTTTTCAAGTGGAAAGCAGTTCCCTTATTATTAAGAAACCGTCTCTCCTAATTATCTGCAAATGAGTGGATATGACCAGTGCCATTTTTAAAGGAGAGATCAGAGAAGATGAGGCAGAATGAGATAAGAAAAACAGGCATGGTGCTAAGAGCGATACACAGCACACGCTAGGCCCAGCGAGTGCAGTAAGATCATGGGCTATTCCCAAGTACCCCTCACCCAGATTTTCCCCTCACCCAGGAGTAGGTGAATAATGAGATGAGGCTCAGGGATGGGTAAAGAAGTGTTTCTAACTCTCCTGGGTGCTTTGTTGTTTTGTTAAAACAAAAAAATCTGGGGAATGTAGCCCAATGGTAGAGCAATTGCCCAGCATGCGTGAGCCCTGAGTTCAAGCCTCAATACCTCAGAAAAGAAAAAGAAAAACTCCACATAAAAATATCTCCATCAAATTCCCATAGCCCCATGAGAGTGGAACGTAGTCTGAGCAACGTATGAATCTGGATGATAACTAGAAGGTAACTAGAAGAATCAAGGCCAGGCAAGAAACAAGGAGTCACAGGCCTGATAGTCAGGACATCAGGGGCATGTGGCAGGGGTGCCATAAGACAGGCCCATTTTCTCCAAAGTCATTTGGCCTGCAGCTGGTCATCCAGTCATTGCTGCCCTAGCTTCTGTGGGCCCCTCCTCCTGGAGGAATAGTCTCTCTGAACCTTAAAAAGTCTGAAGCTTAGAGAAAAATGTGCTTCCCTGTGGAGCCCTATCCCTCTTGCCCCCCACCCCTGCCACAAGCAGTTCCTCCTCCTGACTTTTCCTCATCCTCCCCAAACCCCTGGTCCCAGCTCTCTGCCTCCTCCTGCTGTCCCCTTCTCCTGCAGCATTTGGGACACTAGAAATTCCTCTTCATTTCCTTAGCCTTAGGCCCCTATCCTCCCTCACGAGCCCTCTGGGCATCAGAGGGACTAGGACGGCAGAAACTCCAAACAGTGTGGCCATTCCTGGAGACTAGTCCTGAAGTAAAAGTCTTAAAAGCTTCCAGAAAAATCAATCAGGCCTTTTACCAACATACTTGTATTCTAAAGAGCAACCAGAGTGCTGGACAACAGTGGTACAATGTCTCTGCATCCTCCAGGTAAATGATTCCTGACCGAGTTCTCAATCCAGCGCAGCCACCTGTCAAGTGCATAAGTGGAATAAAGTCATTGTGAGACATGGTAGATATTGCTTACATTTTTAAATAGTTGCACTTTAAGTGTATATAGAAGAACCTACATCATATTTTCTGTTTTGCTTTAGCCCTTTCTTCTCTGGCGTTTTAAGGTAGTTTATTGATATCTGTGCTAGTCACAGTGCTGCACTGGAAACCAGGTAAGATATAAAGAAAGAGGAGCCATAGAATCTGAGAACCAAGAGACAGACACAGGGAGAAGAGGCGAACAAGGAAGGAGAAGCTGGGATGACAGCCTATATCAGATGTAGAGGGAAACATGCCCAGATATGAGGTACGGGGACGGGACAGGGTTCCCAGGAGTACCTCCAAGGAAAAAAATGGAAGTAGTCAAGTAGTTGATGTGTTTGAATTTATCAGGAAAAATTTTATATTCTGCTGGAAACTTTGGGAGTGAGTAAGCTCCAGACATATAGAAAACTAACCAGAAGACAAACAAGAAGTGTTAACTCCTGGGAAAACAAGACGAATAAGAAAGGAAATGCAGACTGCCATGACTAAGCTGTGAGTGGCATCTAAATCCCAGTCATATAATTGCTGAAGTGTGATTTAACCAAATGTTGAAAGAGAACCAAATTGGAAGGTGGAAGGAGAAATGAATGAGGAAGAGAGCTAAATTCTCTTCTTCCATAGCAGGAAATTGAAGTCAATAAAATCAAGAACTAACAGTATAAGCATGTAATTTAAATACATAGAGGTAATTACTCATCGAAACCGCTAAAACAGCTCAAAATGTTTTCTCTTTAAAGAGCCAGCGTCAGAGGCAGGCCAGAAGAGGCCACATTTTGTTTTTGACTTTGAAAGTAATAATGTACTGTGTATTACTTTGAAAATAAAAATTTTAAAAAGTTAAAAAAATAAAAGTAGCCAGTTAGTCTAGGGAGTAATGTGGCAAACATAGTCCAACTTTCCCTGGTCCCTCTCACTGGGGAAGGAGCATGGTGATGGGGCCTCAGGCCCCTAGTTGGAGGAAATAGGTTTCAGTGTCCAAGGATATGCCAGTTCCCCTTACCATTACTGTTCCTGACGTGAGTGCGAATGCCTTTCAATAAAATGTCAGGACTAAGAGATATACATTCATATAATGAACATTTTCTGTGTTTCAATCCTGGAATGCAGCTGCTGGGAACATGAATAAACCACGATTCCTGCCCTCTGGGAGCTCACAGACTGTTGGGAAGATGAAGTTGCACATCTAGCTAGTGGATGATTAATGGATGATAGATTGCTATACAAGGGAATGAGTGTGCTGGAGGGCAGCTAAGGGCAGAGAAATCACCCAGAGATCCAAGGTCCTTCAAATGGAGCCCTGGAGGTTGAGTAGGAATTGGGCTGGGAGGAGTTAAGTTGTCCACGCATGGGGGACTGAATGTGCAGAGACAAAAGGGACAAGGCATGAGAGAGCCTGGTACAGGTAAGACCAGAGTGCAGCCCAGAGTTGAAAACTCAGACATGTATTGGGTGAACAGTAGATAGATCATCAGCTCAGCGGCCTGTGCCCTGCTCTAGAGGCTTCTTCTTTATCCTGAAGGTTTTGGGAAGCTAGTGAAGGTTCCTTCTAAAGGACTAACATGATCCAAGCTGCACCCAGGCTTGGAAGCTGGGGTAGAGAGATGAGTGAGGAGGCAAATAAGCATTCAGGTGGGTAATAATGAGGATCTGTGCCACGCAGTGTGTGAGGAAAACAGATGCATTTGAAGATAATGAAGGGAGCTGAATAGACTGCTGGTACCCCACTATTTGTGGGAACTAAAGGAGAGAAATAAGGCAAGGATGGCCCCCGGATTCCTGTCTTGACATGAGGCAAGGGGCAGTCACACCTAATACCAGGAGAGGGCTTCTGGGGGTAAAGAAAGAAGATGATGAGATTTTGAACATGTGGAGGTTGATGGGTCTGGGAATACAGGTGGAGAAACCAGGCAAGCAGTTAGAAATGGGGTGGACCTCTGGAGATAAGACTGGATTGAGGACATATTGAGAAGGGATCAACACATGGAAGAGGAGTGGCACCTATCACTCACAGAGAGCGTGTGGTGGAGAAGGCCTTAAGGAAACCCAGGAGAACACACAATCTTAAGGCATTGTCAGAAGAAGAGGAGCCCAGAAGGAGTCTGAGAAGGACCCAGAGTTGTGATCAGGAAGACAGAGACTTGCTGGAGGCCAGGTTAGATGAAGACTGAGAAGTAGGTGTCTCAGGGCAATCCCCTTGGCGTTTTCTGTCCTGGATTACAGGATAGTTAGCATACCTGCTCGCTCCCAACAGCCTGAAAAACACCCACTCACACTGTGAAAATAAAAAATGCCCTCCCATGTTTCCAAACACTTCTCAGAGATAATTAAAAGACCATTTGGTAGGCCAATAAATAAATGAGAAAATGTTCAATATCATTAGCCATCAGTGAAATGCAAATCAAAACAACGAGAGACCATCTTACTCCAATTAAAAATGTCTATTTTTTAAAAAAGTGTAATCTCATACACTATTAATGGAAATGTAAATTAGTACAACCACTATGGAGAACTGTGTGGAAATTCCTTTTAAAACTAAAATTAGAGGTCTGGGGCTATAGTTCAGTGGTAGGGAGCATGCCTAGTAAAACTAAAACTGGATCTACCACATGATCCAGTTATCCTACTCCTGGGTATATCCAAAGGAAATGAAGTCAGCATACAAAAGAGAAACTTGCATATCCATGTTTATTACACTGCTATTCATAATAGCAAAGATATGGAATTAGTCTAGATGCCTGTCAACAGATGAATGGACAAACAAAATGTGGTACATATACACCATGGAATACTATTCAGCCATAAAGAGGAATGAAATCTGTCATGTGTAGCAAAATGCATGGAGCTGAAGGGTATGATGATAAGTGAAATAAATCAGACACAGAAAGGAGAATACCACATGTTCTTTCTCAAATATGGAAATGTATTTAGAAGAGGATCCAAATGTAGAATACTGATTACTAGAGACTGGGAAGAGGGTTGGGGTTGGATAA